TTACATATCGACTCAATATTTAAATTTATTATTTAATATTACTCTGTATGGGTTTTACCCCCTTTTTTTTTTTTTTTTTTTTTGGAAAAAAAAAAAAATTTATTCCTTGTACACTATATTGACCTAAAAGTGGTACAAGCATTGAAGTCTCCAAAGAATAACGTATTGGTTTAATAATACTTAGTTGTCTAAAACAACGACATCTCTGTTTCATTGGCATCGCTAGTAGGAGAATATCCTTTAATTATTAAAATATTGCTCTCAAAATAAATTTAGGATGCATACGTTTGAAATTGTATATCAAAATATGGTTTTAGATTTTTCCTTATATAAAACCACGAGCTTGGATCCGTTAAACGTCGTTTGGGGTGGCCATTGTATATCTATTTATAATAAAAATTTTTTTTTTTTTTTTTCTCTCTTTTTTTTTTTCTTTTTCCTTTCTTTGTTTTTTTTTTTTTTTGTTTTGTTTTTTTTTGGTCGGTGGGTTTTGGCTGGATCGTTGTTCAAGGATCTCTGGTAGGGTTGCGGTCGTGTTTCCCCACGGGACCCCTTTTCCCCCCTTGGGTGGAAAATGTTGGGTTGTATGTATTTTTTTTTTTTTTAATTCGCTGTATCATATTTTTTCAAAAAATAAAATTTATCTAAAAATAAAAATAAAAATTTAGGGATTTCTTCTTTCTTCTTTTGTTGGGATTTTTTTTCTCTTCTGCAACTTCTTTGGGGTAGACTTCAACACGTTTAGGTTGGGATGAAAAATAGATGTCCGATTCTCAGACATACCCAATATGCACACAAAATTTCATGAGAATCGGTCAAGCCTGTTTCGGATGAGTTTAACTACAAACACCGCGACACTTTGGTAGGTGGGAGAATTTTATATATTAGATTAAAACAGCAGTCTTATTGTTTTAAGTCGTGGGTCACTGGGTCGTTTCATTACAGCGTAACGACAGTAAGATATAATTATGTTTTTTTATGTAACTGTACGAGCCAAAATTTACGGTTCCTGGGTCATCGGGGTGCTTTAAATAATAGAGGATTTTATTGTTACTCTTTATCAACCAACCACTCAACAACCATAGAATATAAGCGCAATTATAAACTGTTAATTGCTATGTAACGAATTAATGCAATGTAACAGTTGAAGAGAGTGCCTACTTGTGGCTGTACTCTTGGGGCGTAACTCCGACAATTTAGAAAATCGCCACGCTTATTAAACTAATAAAGCCTGAGTGAGCAAAATGTACAACCTTGGCTCGTACAGTAATAAGCAAACGGGCAGAAGGCTCACCTGATGTTAAGACCCTATCCCAGCACGAATTGCTGTGTCAGTGTCTCGGGGTGGACTGCGGGGCGCACTGAGCACTGAGGCGCGCCGGCCCGTAATAACAATTAGTTATGTAAAACATTAAATTAATGTAATTTTATCAAATTTTTTCATTTCTGAAATGGATTACTTGGCTTGCGATAAATATGTCTTCGTAGGGTTTGGTTATTGGGATGCAGATAGGAGATCGATCGACTGTCTCGGTCAGATTGATTGTGGATCAATTATTGGGTTCGGGCGTTAGTCGAATTGGTGTAAAAATACTTCAGTGGGCAGCTGGATTCACATAGTGCTAGTACGCGGCGAAAACTGCCTTAAAACGCTCAGTTGTGGAAAAAAGCACTATCATTAAATGAGTATAAATATTTAAACTAAGGTAGTTTTAAATTATACAAATCAAAATAATCATACAATTCATTAATATTTATAAAAGGCCGTTGACTGATTACACAAAAAAACTTTATTGTTAAGAGTAATTAAGCGATTAATGGCTGATTAAAATATTCTTTGTTTACATTCGTATATTTATTTCCGGAGATCATAAATCATATGTTCAATGTTTTAACATATTTGAGCCTTCTTTAGTAAGTAATTTTATCAGTTCCATAAAAATCTTTTAATGCCTTAAATTAATAAAATAAAATATAAGATACAGGTATCACTTATTCCACGTCATTAAATTTGAATCGGTAGACATCCCTACTCATCGGCAAAGAGGCCAGAGGGTGTAGGCCGAAAGAAAATGGCGGAGTAAAAAACTCTCGGTACTCTTTTAAAAAAGCACATCATCAAACAACTCTTATTTTAAAACATATATCGCAAATTAATTAGAAGTAGCCTGTCAGGCACTAGTCCCAGACCCTTTCAACTATATAATCGTTAACTTTATAGTAAGCCTTTTTACACAGCTTTTAGTTAATACACTTCTTAAATTTATTAAAAGGCAGAGATAAAAGTAAACTTTTCAGCCAACTCACTTTTTCTAAATTAATAACTTTAAGTCTTTTCTTTTCATGGACTACTTATTATTTGACCTAAATTAAACCAACTAAAACGGGACACGTTTTGAGTCAAAGAATAAATGGTCACTTTAAGTATACATAATATATTAAATTTAATGACCAAAAAATTAAGTTATAAAATAAAATTAGGTTGCAAGTCTTCACTGTTTGTGGGTAGACAGTCTACTGAGACGAGATCCATACTCATTCATGGACACATAGCACACACTCACAGATTCATCAATGTTTTTGATTGACTGTATATTTGGTTTTCTTTTACTGTATATTGAAATACTAAGTTTATGTAACTAAGTTAAGTGTTACCGCCATGGATTGGGCACTCACATAGCCGGAAGGCTCGCAAGCGTTGGCGGTCTTTTAAGAATTATTACGCTCTTTTCTTGAAGCACCTCGATCTGGTCACCCACAACAAAGGATTGTTCTAGTGTGGGTACCACCGTCTATTAAATAATACAACTATAGGTTTAATTAATAAATGTTTATTATTTATTAACAAAACGGTTCTTTATATCACTTACCCCATATAAAAGTTCATCGGTCTAATCACACCGACATTCATAAGAAATAAAATTGAAATATTGATAATTTTTCTTTTGTTTCTCAATATGTATAGTACTAGACTGTAATGTGCATACAATGAAGTGAGTCAGGGACTTCCGTCGTGGCTCGGACAAAGCCCTACAAAGTGCATCACTTGATACACTAAATACGATGCCCGTATTGATTTCTACAGTAAGCACGACAAGCATTTCTTGTAGGTCCTTATACTAAAAATAAAAAAAACGTGTGTGTAGAAGTTATACTTCTTTGGTGTAACAAGATAAAAATCTTTTCAAAAATTTTATCTTTCGTCTTTGGGGGGCGTCCATTACGTGAGATGTTTTTTTAAATTTTCTGTCCTTCCCTCCCCCCCTGGTGAGATGTCGTGAGATTTTATTCAACCCCCTCTCCCATCCCCCAATCTTACGTGAGATTTTTCAAAATGTGGGTTTCTTAAGTAAACGCGTTGGATTGTTATTGTAAAAAAAAATTGCTTCGTGCTTTTATTTTCGACTAAAACAAAATAAGTGAAATGTTGAGCGTTTAGGTATGGAGTTAGCGGGAAGTTGCAGAGATGGCCTTTAGGGTCAACCGTTTTCCTTGTCTTTTTTTTTTCAATCAGAAAAAAAATTGCGTGATATTTGCCCCCCTCTCTCCGACGTAAGATTAAATGAGATTTGACTCGACCCCCTCCCCCCCTTAAACACCTCACATAATTTATGGACGCCCCCTTATTTTACGTTTGTAGAAAAAACCACACTAACAATAGAAAAAATTTACTCTCATAATTTTTCCTTAACGCGCCAAAAGAAGTATAACTTCAAAAAAACTAAAATGCTGACTATAGCTAACTTCAGGGTGTCGGTTTGTTCTGACTTCTGACGGTGTGTGCGCGCATCGTAAAAATTTACTCTCATAATTTTTCCTTAACGCGCCAAAAGAAGTATAACTTCAAAAAAACTAAAATGCTGACTATAGCTAACTTCAGGGTGTCGGTTTGTTCTGACTTCTGACGGTGTGCGCGCGCATCGTAAAAATTTACTCTCATAATTTTTCCTTAACGCGCCAAAAGAAGTATAACTTCAAAAAAACTAAAATGCTGACTATAGCTTACTTCAGGGTGTCGGTTTGTTCTGACTTCTGACGGTGTGCGCGCGCATCGTAAAAATTTACTCTTATAATTTTACCCTAACTCTCCAAAAGAACTTCATAAGCATTCTTGGCCTCAGATTACTGTACCTTTCATTTTTAAAGGCAAGGTTTATATAGCCTTTTTTATAAAACAGGGGACAAACTCGCATGAGGCTCGTGTTGTTAAGTGACGCCGCCCATGGACGCTCTCAATGCCAGAGGGCTCGCGAGTGCGTTACCTTTTAAGAATTGGTACTCTCTTTTCTTGAAGGAGCCTAAGTCGAATTGGTTCGGAAGTACTTTTGTGACCAGCTGGTTGTACATAGTGGTGGTGCGCGGCAAAAACTGCCTGAAATAACTCTCAGTTGTAGAACGACTAGCAGACTACGAAATTTCGTATCACCTCGACGTCCGACGTCTTAGGAGTGTGATACATCGAATGTCGGTCATGCTAGTTTCCTAACGTTTACCTACATCGAAAGACCAACACTGGTCTTGTATTGTCTTGCCTTTATTATTTATTTCTATGAATAGTAATAATACTCTTGTATCGTGCAAATCGTTGGCGATAGGATCGATAAGTTAAGGTTTTTTCGAGCTTTTAAACCACCGATGTAGTGTTTGTTTCATGGGGGGCAAAGCGCCAGAGGGTCATCTGTCCCACCCACACTGCCAGGAGGCTCACAGGAGTCGTGACCATGACAAAGACCCTTGAAATGACGTGAGTTTTGAGTCGAAATAAATCTTACAAGACTTATTAAATTCCCACTGTTCCTTCGTCGACCAATTTTTCTTAGAATTCTAGCCTAGAATAGGCTATTGAAGAAACTACTAACACAACAACAAAGCCTAAACGAGCTTTAAATAATAATTATTAATAAATCAAATCGATATCCTAAAGTATTTACAAATCCAAAACGAAAAGTAAGATGTGTAGCGTTTAATCGAAATATGGTCAGTTCTAGTTTTCAATAATGTTATTGAAATTGTTTCTTACCCCAGAGTCCCGGATCATCAAAACAAGAGTGGTGATTGGAGACAGTGAGAAGTGGCACCTCACGGGGTCGGTGCACCGCGCGAGCCAGCGCTTCGCGATTGTACACTGTCGTCTTGTTCAGGAACTCTGCGTAAAGTTTGAAATAATAACTAAAAAGCGTACAATTATAGCAAGTCTCCACACTGCTGTTTTATTTTGAAAATAAATATGTTACTTCAAACGAATTACAAAATTCTAGTAGTATTGAGTTTATACCTAAGAAACCTATAAAATACATATCTTTCCTCTCCATAATATTAGTATTATAGATAGATGTTTCAGTAATTTTGTTTATTAATTGATGTAATATTTTATTTCCATATTCAATTAAGTTGATTTTTTAAGTCCCATATAAACATGTTCATTGACTAGTTGGCAATATTTAGAAAGGTAATTTATAATATTTATAAAAATAGCATTAGTCCAAAAATTACTGATAATTACAGGAAATACTCGCAGTTTTTACTATACTTAAAATTACTAATTTATAATACTTAATGATATTTTTATCAAAAATGATTCAATATTTCCTAATTAGAAATCCAATATCAATCCGTTTAAGATTTTAAACTCATTTTAAGCATAGGAGATTAGGATTAGCGGATAACATAAGATAAAATTTTACAGATAGAAGACTAGGTATCATCCCAAAACTAGCAAAGCCTAAAAACCACAGGATGTCACATTCACGGTAAATGAGGCAGTAGTTGAATTGAAATTTAAGTAAAGGTTCGTTTGTTATTTTTGGATTTATTACAATGAAGTTTCTATTATTAAATATGTATGTAATCAGCTATCAACCTGAAAAGTGATTGTTTCAAAAATAACTAATTATTGATCCAGGAATGTCAAGAATCGAAGGTAACCACACTAAAATAACACAAACTAGCCAATTATATTACGTAAAACTACATACAACTGCAAACATAATATTTGGTATTAACTTTATCCAAAAATAATATTCATTTAAATTATTATCAAACAATTAAATTGAAGGTTGACATTAGTATGTACTTAATGAATAATGTAGCGTGGCGAACTAGGAAATAAATTACCTTATTCTTCACAAGACTAGTTAAAAATTGTTAATCATCTACTCTATTAAATCAATATATTCCAAGTAATGTTCATCAATATTCAAGGATATGTTGACTTGTAAATACCTATTAAATCAATTCACTTGCAATCCACTCATTACATCTATTTAATTAAATATATATGTATTAAATATCATTCATTTATCTTTATTTGGAATGGCTTTGTACGTTTAAGGAATTAGATTGTGGTTTTAAATACCATAAAGAAACTATGTTAAAGTTAATCCAACTTGTACTCTAATTAGCAAGGCGTGTGTTTATAGACCAAGAAGTAAGTAGAATTCAAACACAAGTATTAACAAATAAAGTTTTATTAATACAAAGAATAATAATTTATGTTGAATCTGTCAAATTCATTTTTACGTAATTAAATGTACACTCAGCAGCAAAAATTTGCATCGTTAGCACTTAATTCAGGTTTCGATGTAGTAATACTGATCTGCTGAGTAAGTGCTGATTAAGCTACCTTCTGATTTTCCAGTACTTTTATGAATTACACGTGGAAATTGGAAATTAGGGCAAATAGTTAAAGTTATAAGATTAAGTTATCAGTGGAGATTCACCCACCTACAATAATCTTGCTGAAGAGGCCAACAACTGCGACTGTGATTGAGCTGGCACAATACCACAGTCTACCCGGATTCCGGAGTCGCGGTATTAGCCACCCAATGTCGTAGCCCATGGTTTCACGAGCACACAATCACTACACACTATAAACACATTGTTGTTATAAAATTAATAAACTTTTAATTATAATCCTGGTACAAACTCCGACGAACCCAACCTTGTTTCGATTCGACTTGAATGTGAATACTCCAGGGTGACCATGGTAACAATAAAAGTCGCCACAATACCATCGGAATTATATTTTTGTACAAAATTTGTACTAGCACTAACCATTACTGAAGATTAATTAATCCTAGTAAATTATCATAATAGTACTCATAAATAAACGTATGTACAGGTTAATTTCTTGAATTAAAAAACTTAGTAAAAATTATCTTTGTCTAAATCTGTAAAATACTAATGTAAGTACATATACAAAACAACCAGAGTAATAATTATTACTCTATAAATCAGGAAACTGCAATCAATGGTCACACTGAAATGTAAAAATGACATTAACAATTAACTTCTTATATTGCTTGCTAAGTAACTTTCTATGATTTTAGTGAATATTTAAATTTTAGATTTATTAGTTACACTAGCCTTTATTAAGAAATATATATATATGTATATTTGTTAAGTCACTTTTTACTATGTTGCACTAACAGTTAGATACTCCTCCACTAGATGGCATTGTACTAAATTTGAATACGTTACAAATTGAATGCAGATGTATAATTTGGATTTCACTTGGTTTATGAGTTACCTAAGTAATCACAATTTTGGTCCTTCCATACATAATAAATTTACATAAATAAGAAATTTTTTAAAGTCAACCTTTTAATCATTTCTATTGTATCTAATCTTGGCATTTCATTTCAATGACTCCGTGGCGCAACGGTAGCGCGTCTGACTCCAGATCAGAAGGTTGCGTGTTCAAATCACGTCGGGGTCAAAAGTCTCCTTTTTTCATTAGCTTTTATTGTGGTATTTTTTAAATGATACAATAGTTTTAAATAGCCTCTCTAGCTATATTTATGTTTTATATAAATAAATGTGTATAATTTATGCCTATTTCTACATAGTTTATTAGTACACAGCTATGATTATATTGTTATTGGCAATATATATAGCGCACTTGATAATAAGGAGTAGAATAATTATTGTTGAATAACTAAAAAAAATTAAAGAGAAATAAAAAATAATACCAAAAACTGGAGATGCCGGGGATCGAACCCGGGGCCTTTCACATGCAAAGCGAACGCTCTACCACTGAGCTACATCCCCTTTGAGTTATATGTTGAAATTAATATACATATAGACAAATATATTATTGTAATAATATTTAATAATTGATAATTAATATAAAGAAAACAATAATTTATGCGTATTATACATGATTTTATTTCTTTACCTATATTAGGTTAATTTTATTTTTCTTATAGCGTTAGACAAAGTATTAAACGCTAACCTCTGCGTCTCTTCATTACTTTTTCTACAGGTATTATTCATGGAAGTATTAATACTTTGTCTATCTCATAGTATAGTTCTAGATCGTTATATCCATGGTACAAAGCTAGTGTCAAAAGTAAAATACAGTCGTCTTATAATAACTAAATTATTAATTACATTCAAAATATGTTTAAATAAACACAAAACCCCTTTGGTAGACTTTAAGTCAACATAAATAGTTTCTACTAGGTACAAAACAGCCTACTGCTTTATACAGGCGTCATACGATATATGAATGAAGCCTCTTCATAAATAATAATATCCATATTGTAGTTACAAGAAAAAAGGTAAAACAACATTTCTTTACCACATTCTATCCTGCTCGATTGTGACTTTTGTAATTCTTGTATATTTTCTTATACTTTTGTATTGAATCGCAATTCATGAATCCGCGAGATTAGCTTATTAGTTTTTAGTTTATTATATTATTATTTGTTTAAAAGTCTTGCACTTCACCTGTCATATTTCTTTTTAGTTTTTTCCTTACTAGGGTTGCCTGGGTCGCTTGTTACCGATAAGGCCGCCCGTTGCATCCCTTATAATTTTTATTTATTATATTATTTGCTTTTCTATAAATGTAACGAAGTAATGAATAAATAAATAAAACATTCGTTAAAAAGTCCATAGACTTATTGTCTAGTTTACCTACTTTCCCAATATATAATATTAAACTTTCAAACAGATCTCAAAAAACACAATTAATTTTCAGCTTCCATAATAAATTCAGCTATTAGCAGTTCCATGCTGGGCGCAATGTCAGCAGCAATACAAGCGAGTTTGAAGCATTCAGAGATGCGCAAAATCCGCCAGCAATGGTCCTCCACTGAATCGAATTGCTGTTCACATGTGTGGATTATTTGCACCATTTGCTTCGAAAGCATCTCACCTGTAATTGTAATAATTTCTTAATAATTCAATGTCTAGTATTATCTAATATATAAAATTCTTGTGTCACAATGTTCGTTCCCATACTCCTCCGAAATGGCTCGACCGATTCTTATGAAACTTTTTATGCATATTCAGTAAGTCTGAGAATCCGCAATCATCTATCTTTCAAGCCCCAGTGATAAGGGGTGTAGAAGACATAAAATTTTTTTAGACAAAACTTTTTGTTTTTATATTTTATGATACATCATACAGAAATACATACAACCCTTAATTTTCATCTACCCTCTACAATCGTAGGTAATTTTTATTTGTTACTTAAGAACCTATAACTTGAACTCTGAGGTTTATTTAGAGAAAAAACACAGAAAAACCTAAAAAGTTTTAATTCCGGAAAATCGAACAGTCTCTGGGGTAGCATAGCAAAATGTTCCATGATGGTATGTATTAAAAATATTTAGTTTCAAGTACGTGCGTGTAAAGTATAGCAAATCATCATGCATGAATAACTGTTCTATGTAAGACATCCATGAATAGTTCAGCAATGTAGGAAAAGAACTTTAAAATACAAAATCCTTTTTTTAGCACTGATATATCTTTTCGTGGTTATGCGTACCGTTTGGAAATGACTTGATGAATTTATCAGTGTTCTCATGATGCATTCGATGGGAATCTGTCATCAGATTGAAATGTCTGCTCATACACATGATAGCGCATCCCAACTCGTGATCTTCAAACTTAAAGTCATCTCTCCAGAAGTGGAAGAATTCCTCCATTTTCTCCTCGGTCAGTTGACTCTGTAATATGAATGTAGTAAGTATAATTATAAGAAAAAAAAGTTTATTATGGAATATAAGATACAGGTACTTATCACTTATTGTGTCATTAAATTTGAATCGGTAGACATCCCTACTCATCGGCATAGAAGACAGAGGGTGTAGGCCGAGAGAAAAAGCCGGAGTAAAAAACTCTCTTTTAAAATAGCAAATCATCAAACAACACTTATTTTAAAACAAATATCGCATATTAATTAGAAGTAGCCTATCTAGCACTAGTCCCAGGCCCTTTTATCAATTACATAATCGTTAAGTTTATAGTAAGCCTTTTTACACGCTTTTCGTTAATACATTTCTTAAATTTATTAAAAGTCAGAGATAAAAGAGCCTCTGGGATTTTATTAAAGAAGAGTATCCCTTTTCCCAAAAAAGAATTACTAACTTTAGACAGTCTAGTACGGGGAAATTGCAGCCTGCGTTTGTTCCGAGTATTAACATTGTATGTATGTTTTAATCTGGTAAACTATTTTTGTATGTATATTGCAGTGTACTAATATTCCGTCATCCCTCGTCTAGAAGCACCCTGGAGTTTCAAACCTATTATTGACATCAAATGCCGCACTACACGATTTGGATCGTCGCTTATTGTGAAAATAGCGAAAGAGTGGAACTTCTTGCTTTCAATCTATCCTGAAGAATATAACATAACCTATTCATTACCGTGCTATTCAAAGGGTGGCAAAAAGTGGATGCGACTGCAAATTACAAGCAGAGCTATGAGTTAATATAAAATTTAATAAAAATAATTAAAACAAATGTAACAAGTTTGGTCCATGTGTACCTTTAATGCAGGTAGCATTTCCATGTGTATTGCGATACTTTTTTGAGCGAGGAAAGCACCAGCTCTGGGGTCACCGGTACTATCTACCAGGCGCCAACTTAAATAATTAATAAGCGCCTGTGCCTCAATTGAATTTAGAGAGATCTCTGTCTCTAGTCTATATTTCTTTTCTCTTTCTATATTTTTTTGTTGTGTAGTATGTATGTAAATAATGTAGTAAATTCAAGTTAAAATTTTTAAGAAAATTTTAGAAACACCGCAATCAAGAACCAAAATACATTTTATTTTCCTTTTAGTATAAGTTGTGTAATGCATACAAAATAATATAAGCATACATTTATACAGGCGGCATATTTCAATATATTACATCTAATACTGATCTGTGGACAGGTTCAGGGTGGGCTGTCCGTAAACGCAATAAAAGATTGATAAACGACCGTTAATAACCGTTTAGCGAGACTGTACACATTATTTACACCGGCCAGAGATGCAACTCACTGCGATTAATAGTCCATACTATTTAGTAGTTCTTATAAACTACAGTTATAGGCCGGAGCTGACTCCTGATTGCAGAGTCCATAAGCATCCACAATCCGATGTGTGCTTTTATGGAAGACTCATTTCTACAATTTTACTGGATCAAAAATAACTTATTTTTTAAAATGATGTAACCTAATATTAGTAAAGTTAATTTTTTTTTGCTCACATGATGTTAAGTGATACCGCTGCCCATGGACACTCTCAATGCTCGCAAATACTTTAGTGGGCTGGTTCCACATAGAGGTGGTGCGCGGCAAAAACTGCCTTAAAACACGCTCAGTTGTGGAACGACGGACGTCGAGGTGATACGGGTAGAATTTTGTATTCTGCCTCGACGTACGCCAATGAAACTCAGCTGCAGGTATAAATATATATTCATATACATATATATATATTTTTAAGTTAACGAGAGGTGCAATCGCCCGCTCCCGCGCCGCAGCCGCCGCCGCCCCGCTGCCCGCAAAATTCGATGCAGCAGCCTTAGAAGCGCAAACCGAATGTTAGCAATCAACTTGTAGTCGATATGCTCTTTAGTTTTTCCCACTCTCATAAATTGTAATATAACATTCTCGTTTCCGATAATGTCCAATAGATCGACTATACTTATATTCTTCAGAAGTGTCCCTTAGATTTAAGAGTCCTAAAATAAGTCATGTTAGTTTTTGTTAGTCTAGCTTCGCAACGCCACTACTCCTCATTTTATGTTAGTTATAAGCTCATGTTTTAAACAATTAAATCCAGTTGACCCCGAGCTTCAACCAACGTTTATATTATTTTAATTACTCTTGTGAAATATTATATGTATATAATATATATATTATATAATAGTTAAAGCGCATTGCATTTTCTTTAGCATTTTATTACCATATAACACATGCCAGCAGCCAGATATATCTATACATAGTGTGAATTTCCACATGATTAAATCGCGCAGTATACATTTACTATGTAGTATGGGTAATAATATGTTAAAATATGAATACGAACTCAGTTCTAATACCGCTACTAATGTTGCCCTACTTCTTGCTACAATATCGACGCCAATAAACATGAATACACTCTCTTACTTACCTACACTCTTTTACTGAATGGTTCGTAACGATCGATTATTATCATGAGCAGTGCGACCTTTTTACATATTCACTGCCCACTTCAATAAGTCATTGTACGAAAACCACAGACCTGTGCTACCCAAATTTAAATATTTAAGAGCAAACCTCTTCTCTGCAATGCTGCAGCGCCTCTCCAAAGCCGAGCGTGACGTCCTTCATGATGTCAGCGGAGCCCTGGACTTGTATCACTAAGCTAAGCGCCAACCAAGCTATCACCCTTCTCATATACTCAGACATTTTGTGTGTCACTCTAATAGAATTGTCTTTTATATACTGTGATAATAATAGCAGGTTGCTGTTTGAAGAATGGTGGGCGTGGTAATTGCATACTCACGTTGACACTATTATTGCTTTTTAAAAGTCTCTGTTTACTTTTGATTAACGGATACAGGCTAGAATTTTTTACATAATAAGGTAAATAGATAATTGGAGTTTAATTTGTTTGTATCACGTTTATTATTGCACTATTATGTCAGGCTGTTATCGATCCTTATAAGTTAAAAAAATATTAATTTTTGATACGGCTATTGACAAATTTATAAACACTGACATCCATAAATGCATATCCCACGAAAAAAGTTTGCAAAATATTTGCTTTGGTAAGCGTAAGTTACATGCGCGAACTTTACACTTGTAAATTAACAAACATTACTAAATGTTTTTGGTTGAGGCTAAATATGTTTATTAATTGTACGATGCAAGCGTGATACAAACGTGTCACCGTGTCAACGAGGAATGGGACGAAGTGTACTAAATAAAAAAATAAAAAACAAGATAAGAACTATAGGAATAAGAAATAAAACTGAAGTGGAAATGGGCGGAGTACACCGCTCGCATGAACAATGGCAGATGGACAAAGAGGGTAACAAGTTGGAAAGTCACCAGGGTAAAGAAAGAGAGGTCGCACTCTTGCACGGTGGGCCGACGACATATCCCCTTAAAGAAGTAGGTGGAGAAGATTGGATTGCTCAAGATAGAGAGTGATGAAGCCAGTGGAGTAGGCCTATACTAAAGAGGTCCTTGGGAAAGAAAATCTGTATCAAATTTTAAATGTGTGATGAATGTTCCAAGGAATAAATGTGGCTTAATTATTATTATTATTTTTTTTTTTTATGGAATAGGAGGCAAATGGGCAGGAGTCTCATCTGATGTTAAGTGATACCGCCGCCCATGGACACTCACACCGCCAGAAGGCTCGCAAGTGCGTTGCCGGCCTTTCAAGAATTGGTACGCTCTTTTCATGGAGGACCCTAAGTCGAATTGGTTCGGAAATACTTCAGTGGGCAGCTGGTTCCACATAGTGGTGGTACGCGGCAAAAACTGCCTTAGAAAACGCTCAGTTGTGGAACGACGGACGTCGAGGTGATACGGAATATTATTATTATGTCGGCAAGCGTGAACCTATTTAGTAGCTTATATTGGACTGCAGCAGACAATCAGACATAAATAAAATGAATAAGTCCGTGAATCTGTCTATTCTAAATCTGTTCTAATAATTTGCTTATCCTTAGCGGTGTAACTTTGCTCGCCAAAATGCAGAATACAGTAAGTCTGATAAATATATCTATCTGTAACTGATAAAGATCTAAGAACTAACATTGACTCATAAATGAAATGGCCTACCATATTAGGGATTTCTTAGAAAAGCACCCGTTTCCCACAGTGCCAGAGTATCTCACGCAACATCCAGGGTTCCGAAGACAATGAACGCGGGAATCGAACATATGATCTGTCCCTTGCGTGCGCAAGTGCAGTGTTTTGTTTGAATTTACGTAATCAATTTAAACAATCATAATTGTTTAAGACGATTCAATCCTTTGTAATTTTATTAATGCGAATGTGAGCGTCGCTATGCTTTCACGCCCGTAACGATGTGTCTATAGTAATGTAGTAATAATAATAAAAAATAAAAAATAGTATAGTTATTTTAGTATGAAAACTTGATCTTAAACTTTTTTTTATGTAACAAAACAAAAACTTCCCATCTTATAACTCTTACTTTCTTGGTGAATCCAATAAGGTCTCTGCAGTGAGGCTATGGTCCTTCTCTATCTTCTATTAAATCTCTACTGTACAAACATAACCTGTCCACATCGTTTGCCTAACTTTCGTACTAACTGACGTAAGACTGATCTAGAATTCATGTGCACCTTTTATTTTTCATGTGTCCTATTTTAGTTTGGTTTTTATTTTTTTTTGTTCCTGTATTAGTTTTGTGTAAACGACTATATGTATTATGTATTTTGCACTTCTTGCTTATCTAATTTAATATATTTTCTTTTTTTCAACAGTTGCCTGGACGAGATCGCTCTTGAAATGAAAGCGATAAGGCCGCCAGTTGCCCTCCTTTTCATTTAATTTGTAAATTTTATTATGTTATTGCAACGAAGTATTAATATATAAAATAAAGAAAAAAATAAAAACTCTTCTGATGTTAAGATGGGCTCGAAGATTTAAGGTAAAATGCAAGGGATCAAATATTTAATACACTTTAATTTATTGAAGATTTTTCCAATATTTCACCGTATACGATGATAAAAGGAATTTTTAATCGAATATCGTGTAAGTTGAGATTATAATGGCGGGATAAGTGGTAGGTGCGATACCGCGGTGCCCTTGATTTGAGCTTGTAATGCTGCCAGAATAAATTGCCCTCGAATATACACTGACATGTACCTAATAGTAGACTATGCTTTTTGGTCGGATGATGATAGGCCGTGGAAGGTTTTCTCACAATAAGTGGGAGGAAATCGATAAACAATAATCGCTCGGTAGCAGTGGATTATTAACCAGCAGGATGAGTAGGCTGGAGCCTAGGAAAATTTGGGGTCCGATTTTTTTCTTGCTACTTAATAGAAATCAAAAGTATTTTGAAGTTTTCTGATGTTCTACAGATCTGCAACAACTTTGCCGATAACTTTCCCCTCTCACTGGTCATTCTACATTTGCTGTAGCAAACTTCCATATTCTAGAGTAAAACAGGTAGTTGGCAGCCCCCAACCATTAATCCACCTTGCACCCTTAGCTCACACTTTGTATAAGTGAAAAGAGCGAATTTTCAGAACATGTATTTCCTTCATCCCTCTTCCCTCTATCAACTTATATATGTCAGTCCTACTGCTGGTTTGAGGTTGCGAACTGGATGGCTTATGTATAACTTTGTGGCAAGGACGGTACAACCTTCACAGCCTCTACCTTGACCACCTCCTACTTCCACCATCCTCTACCATTAGGTCTTATAGCCACTTAGATTTATACAGTGTAGAGAGACCCTCGACAAGCCTAACCAGGTCCGAAGGCGAGTAGAAGTTCTATATATTTTTAGAAGTCGGAATAACTTTGTTACCGAGTTTCAGGGTATGAAGTCCTCATTCATTTGTAGACGAAGATTGTAGCTATCGCTAGATGATTAAAAAGGATCACTCAGTGTAAATAAACGATTAAAATATTCCAGTGTATGTGAATAGTACCTCTTCGGAGCAGGTTGCCTTATAATTAGTCGTTCAGTAATGAGTGGAGGTGCTCACGGCACAGCAAGACAACTTTTTGTTAACAACAGTCGCAGTGGAACAGAGGTTATTCGCTAACACTCTTTACCAAAATTATTAGTTTCAATATTGTAGTTGTAGACTATGGTAAATTGAACATATATAAAATAGATATATAACTTCACAGATAATAAATATACCATATTTAATTACCGTATCACACTTGGAAGAAAAAAGTGGTGTATCTGTACGTACGTATTCCACGAATTCAACACAAATATATCAGTTTTATTAAACTTGTGGTAGTAGTTTTAAATTAAAATACTTTAGTGAATTCCTTAAAGGTTTCTGATCGATATACATTAGCACTCAAAATAACATGGATGGTGTCAAGACTAAACAAGCAACAGAGGCATACTTAGCTCGCAAACAATATATTAGCTGTTGACAAAATACAATAAATTCTCATTAGTCTATTCGCTTCCGCATAACCATTTACTAGCGACAGCTGCCTGGACACAGGAGCCACAGAATTATGTCTATTAAGTCGAGGTAGGAGAATGTTAGAATGCTTATAGCTCTGTTTATAATTTGAGATAATAAATAGTGACAATTTGACATAGCGGAAGGAGACAGCGTTTGCCGCGGTTTTGCTGAGGCTTTAGGCTGAGCATAGACAACGACGCTATGTCATTCAATGACAGTTGCATTGTTAAACGACGAATGACAGTTGAATTCGAAAAGGGATTATGCATCTATATTATTTAAGGGTAAACTTTTATATCCATAGAGAAAGAATATTTCTCTTTATTTTTCTTGTATTAAATTATTTATTATCACAGTATATTTAGTTTCTATGTTTTAGCATCGAATCAAGTTCTGCCTGTCGTATTAAGGCTAATATTTGACAATAATTCTACTGTATACTAAAACATCGCTTAACTATTCTTGTCTCTAATAAACTATAAATATTAAAAATATAATTTTACCAATATTTTTATGAAAAATCGTACACTTACTTAGTCCTTACAGATGAACTTAACATAGGTACTAATAGCGCTTAATATTCATAATAGAGATACAGAATTGATAACATATTGATTATATGAATGTTACAACCTTTTTGTCATAAATAAAGTTTTTATTATTATTATTATATATTTAAAGAGTGATTAAAATGGGCAGATCAAACGTTCGTCCCTACTTTTCCCATAACTGGTCCTCAGTTCTGTAGTGTAGGGAATTATAATTGTTACCCCCTCCCCTCGCCGCTCTCCACCGAACAGGCTTTGATCTTGTTCCCAGTTTTTATTCAGTCCTTGGGCTTGTCTAATTATCGCACTAGGAGTACTGTTTAATCGTTATTTTAAATTATTTAGTGGTACTAAACTTCCTTTTAAATCCTAGTTCAGTGTAAAACTACTTACAGATAACAAGAAACAATTAATTGGAATACTGTAACGCGGATGTCTTGGTTTATTATTAAATGTTCATTATCTCAGTGTTATTTCTTATTGGCGAAAATCATATAAAGTATATAAAAATCATATAAGCTTCTCGCTCTAAACAATATTTATCGTGATCCGCTTGCAGAAAAAGCTCTTTACTTTATATTTAATTATTTAAAAGTTCTAAAACAACGTGTATGCATAAAATTATACAAGAAAATTTTACACACATACACATATACTTCAATTATATTGGAACATAAACAAGCTAAGGGAAGAAATTAAACAAGCAACCACAAAA